GAATTTCAAAAGCTTCCAAATTGTGTGGAATAGAGCTTGCAATGTTTTTCAAGCAGGTTTTAGTACATTCTGACCAATTGTATTTTCAGAAATACATCTGTTATGTACGGTCGGTTTTGGATACAGGGTTTATCCCGCAGGAATGTATATGTGGTCCCTCGGGAGATACACATATTTCCCTTGGGATAAACCCTGTATCCAAAACCTCCCAGTACATAACCCTTATATATGTTTTATCATTTAAACTTATCAAAACAATTGGGGGATCTACAGGAGGAAACAGCTTAATTAATGCCTGGTCACATTTGCTCCGATCCATCGGCCGGCGCCCAGCCGATTGAGTGATTTGCTCAATATTGTATTCAATTTTGAACAAAATACTCAATCGCCCGGGCACCGTTGTGAAAATCGGAGCAAATGTGACCAAGGCATAAGGCTTATTTGAAAAATTCCTTTATTACTTTTATTAGACCTCTGTTTCCCCAAAAAGCATCCTAGTGGCACCATGTGGCCCCCAGTGTCCCTCAAAAGCATGCTAGTGGCCCCCAATCACCTCCAATTGCATGCTAGTGACCCCCTTTGGCCCCAAAAGCATCCTATCGGCCCCCTGTGGGCGTCAATAGTGACCATGGGCATTCGTGCCTATGTCCCATATACGGGACGTTTGATACCAAAATTAAAACAAATAAAAATTTAAGAAAAAATTCAGCACAGCCAATAATGGGTGGCACCATTGAAAAGAGCAAAGATTGAACTTCATTCTTTAGATAATCTTTCAAAAGTGTTTGAGTAATATATTAAAATTATCCTTACTTGGAATATGTGTTCATTCTTAGACTGTGACATTTCTTTTGAGGGGTATTAAGCCCCTTCATGTGCAAAAGGACCAGGGAAAGTATCGCAACAGACTTTTGACAGTTGATAATTTTTTGTGAGTAGTTTCTGGCCGTAAAAAGTAAATGTTTGCGAAAGGCGAATCTATAATCTTCAAGAAAAGTTCAAAGAATAGTTTCAAGATCAATTGGATTATCTTATAATCCATGTTTAATCCACCCATCAACAAGCTTTTTCAAAATACATTCGTCATTTTCACCATCGTCCTTCATTTTTTTAAAAAAATGTTATGCAAAGTTACATTGTACTTGAACACATGTTTCATCACGTAAAATATGTAAGGAACTCCATGAAGTTTGTTTTTGAGTTTTTTTTGAAAAAATGAACTCTTAAAATGCATGTTTACAAAAATAATTTAGCAGTGATGTAAAAGATGGCAATGTTTTTCAATAATAACATGCATAGTGGGTGAATTACTCATGTGTGTTGTGTTTTAATCCTGCATTCACTGACTGAGTTAGCCTATTGAAAAACCATAGAGATTTATAATACAAACAGTAATACTATGAATACTTCTACTTCAAGCTCAAATAGAGCTTTCAGGGTCCTGTGCTAAAATACTAGATCACCTGATGTGGATGTATTTTTGATTTGTAAGGAATCAAGAGAAACCATTAGTGCAAGCAATTAAATGAAAGCATCATCCGAACATCACTTGAAAAGTACTAAAGTGGTGAAAAATTGCAGGATGTTGACAGAAAATGTGGCTAGGGGAGAGGGTCGTCTCTCAACCTCCCCCCTCCTCCCCTTTCCCTGGTCACGGGACTAATACATGTGATATGGCAAAGTCCAATTTATAGATTAAGTTTCCCTTGCAATATTGTTGGCATTTTTATTAGAGTTCATGTTTTGTTTATGTAATGGGTGAGTGGAAGACCCTTGTGTGGCAATCAAATATAAAATGTTTTCTAAAATATATATTTGAAATACTTTGTGTATGTACAGTCACAAACTCTAGGCAACATGAACTAGTAATGGGGCAACACCCCAACTCAATTGAGTGAATGTGTAAACCATATATGGAACAAAAAACATTACATAAAACAAACTCAGCATGCAAACATGTAAAATTGGCATGGCAAAACAATAGATTGTGAAACTGAATAAACACTGGTGTAAAGTAATACAGGGACCTGTTAAAATGACATGAATGGAGATTGGTCAATATGAATAGTAGAAATATAAAAAATGTGAAAATTTGCCAGGTAGAGAGGGAGAGATAAAGGGAGCTGCTGCTCCCCCAAGAGATTCTTTCAAAATGATGCAGTTTCTCACCAATCTGAGCACTTTTCACATGATTTTTTAGCCAAAACTGTCAAAAAGTTCCTCCCTAGGCAAAAGCCTTGCCCTTGGTAAACCTGCTCCTACCCCTTGGTAAAAGCTGGCTACAGCCTGTGTAAAACACTTGTGTCAGAACTTGAACGTGAACGAGTACTGTTATGACCCCCAGTAATGTTGTCCATCTCTCAACTGGTTTAACTGGGGACCATTACATCAATTGGCATTATATCAATCAGGCTAAAAGAGGCCAGTGTGAGAATAGCCAATAGCACGGTGTTATAGCATGACGGTTACGCCACCTCTGAAATAAGAGAAAAACTGTCGAGTTTGAAATTCAAACTACACAAAAATTTAGTAATTTTTTATTTTTGTAGTTAGGGCATGGTCTACATTGCCTAAAAACCTTGTGGTATATATGTAACCTACATACGACCATACAAAGCCAATTGAGCATTGGAAACCACCTAATATGTTCTACTCAAGCCATAATAATGTATTTTGAATTTGCGGTAACATAAAAAATTGATGGACGCTTACGGGAACCTGATTCAAATATGAAACCCCGATTCATTGTTGTTAATTTTGTCATCTTCATCAGTACTTGATCCTAAATCTTCTTTTGCCTCTCCATTGCTATTTTTTACACTTTCATTGGTTTCATTAATAAAGCAAGCGACAGTTTTTTTCCTTGCCTTATAGAGGCAGGACCAAAAATTATAAACTTTGATATCTCAGTCGGTCATCCTCCGATCACAGGGCTTCAAAATCAAGAATATATTCTTTCTTTTTACCCCCTGCGATAAGCAGTTAGCATTTCCCCGTATAAGAACTCGCAATTTGATTGGCCGTCGCAACACTGCGACAGAAATCATGTGTAGGTCATTGCGCATAATTAGATCACGTGATTCAGTTTAATCGGGCGCCTCCAAATTGGTTATAGCAGGGGGAAGAAGGAGGTACGGATTCTGGATACCTGCTTAGGAGGATGCAGTCGGTAGGTTTACATTCTGTTTCTTGTAGACCACCTGGCAGATTTGACCCAGTCTTCATAACCATCTATATATATGTCACCGAATGTTTAAAAGGTTTAAAAGGAAATATTATCTGTGAATATTGCCTACAGGCAAGAAAGAGGACATGCTGCCTTTCCCATCCACCATTTTTTGTTATCGTTACCCCAAAATTTTGCAAATCGCCTTGACGTAACCGTCATGCTATAACACCGTGAATAGGGGACCATAAGTTTACACATTCCATGTGTACGTTCATCAAAATAGTGCGATCTTAACCTCCCTAATAACTGAAATTGTTGGCTCAAGCAATAGAATCATTCTATGTTTGTTTATATTTGTTCACATTAATATGGAAGAAAATCGGACATTTTGCTAAAAAGATGTTATTGTAAATCTTAGAAATAATGATAAAGGTAATATACACCACACACTCAATGGTATTAATTATGGATTTCAGAGACTCTCAAAAGGGACTTTAAGCTTGCAATGTTTTTCACTAAATGTGAATGGAAAATATTTAGCGATGCATTTGTATGGGCGATTGGTCATAGGTTAGCGTTTCGAATTTATATGCAAGCTTAATCTCCCTAACATTAAGGTAAGAGTGTATGCCACTCATAACATTTTCTTAGGATAAAATTGAATTGATGAATATGCAAAAATTATTCTTAGCATATCATCTTTCATTTCATTATTTGAATAATCAATCTGGAGATCTACTCAAATAAGAAAGTGTGTTATAACACATCATCATATAGAAACATGTCCAATGTTTTTTCAGAACATGGATCAAAATACTTGTCTTACTAAAATTATTGGCAAAGGTATGATGTACTAAATTCTTGTACTGTATTTATGATTTTAATAGCACTGTAGACCTCGTGAATCATTACTGATAAACAAGATACAGAAAACCTGTTCAAAGTAAATTCTATGATAAGGGCATCATAGAAATTATCATAAAGAGAGGTATTTAGAATTGCTTAGCAACTTACACACACACACACATGCACAGGTTTAACTGCACTCAAACATTAAACAGTCAACTTGACAAGTATTCAGAATTGTTTGGGAAATGCTGAGGTTATGCTCCATTGATCAAACAGGGGATCACACAGCAGGGGATCAAACAAGTCCAACCATTCATTTATGAAAACATTTTGAACTAACTTTATGGCACACTAATGACATCTTATATGAGTGTGCTGTACTAAAAGCATAGCCCCATTGGATCCCCTTATATTGGATTATCATAATCCTAATCCAGAAGGAGTTCCTTATATATTTTAAGTGATGAAACATGTGTTCAAGTAAATTGTAACTTTGCATGAAAATTGTAAAAAAAATGAGGGACAATGGTGAAAATGACGATTGTATTTTGAAAAAAAGCTCGTTGATGGGTGGATTAAACATGGCTTATGAGATAATCCAATTGATCTTGAAACCATTCTTTGAATTTTTCTTAAAGATTATACATTGGCCTTTCATATGCATTCATTTTTATACAGGCAGAAACTACTCGAAAAAAATGATTTACTGTCAAAAATCTGTTGCGATACTTTCCCTCCTTCTTTCAAAAAATGTCTGCTACAAAGTGACCTTGAACTTGCAGTGAAACATGTTTTTTTCTTTTGTAAGAAATATTAAGTACTAATGAATCAGTGTTGCCATCTTCCAACATACACAAAAATAAAAACGTCCCATATATGAGACATTGTCATTAATGGGTTAACAATTCTGGCTATTTTATGACTATGTCTATCTATCTTTGACTAGACGAATTTCACATCTGTACATACAACAATTGTATAAAGGCTAGTTTTCACAGGGTGAAAATGTTTTTGGTAATAAGTTATTACCTTATTCTAGACTTATGCACACTAATAATTTTTTTGAAACAAAATTGCATTTTCACGTGACTAACTTTTTCTTTTCGACATGTACTATGGGTGCATTTATAATACATCTAAGTTAACATTAACTCAAATCAATTAATCAGATGATTCTTTGTATATTTCAAAAAATAGTTTGCTGTTGTACAATTTATATTGTTAGTACCTCAACTGAAATACTCGATTCTGATAGGTTTATTAGCTGTCAACAATATGTATTGTTAGTACCTCAACTAAAATACTCGATTCTGATTGGTTGATGAGCAGTCAACAATATGCACTGTTGACCGTTTCTAGATACTGTTGACCGCTACTTTAAAAAAAAGTTTCATGACGTCATAATATTTACAGAGAAACATGGAAGACTGACATTTTGTAAACGTTGATGAAAGTGATATTTTGAGCAAGTTTAGCAAAAATGCAAATAGAAACCTAAATCAACATTAATTTACTAATGAGTACGCCGTGATGTGCCGAATATAGAGAGTTTAGCAACCTCTGTCTTCAGATTTCCAACAAATATATTGCTGACGTGGTTCGGAGAAAAGATTATAAAATGAAGCCATGCCGATTGATGATTGATGATTGTTCTCTATATATGTATTATTAGTTTCTTCGGACTAACAAAACAATTGTAGACTTCTCCATTCGGTCAACCGTCAAAATCGTATACCTCGACTGTAAACCTTGAAACTACTATTGACCTCGACCTTCGGTCTCTGTCAACAGTAGTTTCTCGGTTTACAGTCTGGGTATACAATTTTGCCGGTTGACCTCTGGAGAGGTCAACAATTGTATACTGTTGACCGCTACTAGGTACTGTTGACCGCTACTTTTAAAAAAAGGTTTCATGACGTCATAATATTTACAGAAAAAACATGGTAGACGGGCATTTTGTAAACGTTGATGAAAGTGATAAATAAAAATAGAAACGTAAAATCAACATTAATTTACTAATGAGTACGCCGTGATGTGCCGAATATAGAGAGTTTAGCTACCACTGTCTTCAGATTTTCTACAAAAATATTGCTGTCGTAGTTCGGAGAAAAGATTGTGACATGAAGCAATGTCGATTGATGATTGTCGTCTATATTGTGTATTATTAGTTTCTTCGGACTAACAAAACAATTGTAGCCCTCTCCATTCGGTCAACCGTCAAAATCATATACCTCACTGTAAACCTTGAAACTACTGTTGACCTCGACCTTCGGTCTCAACAGTAGTTTCTCGGTTTTTCAGTCTCGGTATACAATTTTGCCGGTTGACCTCTGGGGAGGTCAACAATTGTATAAAGGCTAGTTTTCACAGTGTGAAAATGTTTTTGGTAATAAGTTATTACCTTATTCTAGACCTATGTACACTAATAATGTTTTTGAAACAAAATTTTCTTTTCGATTATTGATCTCAATCCATTCTAAACTCACACTTCACTGTGATAATATGGTATGATATTTAGGATGCGGTGACTTCTCAAACACAACTATACTGTCGTATACCTGTATACTCTGTGTGGATCTTGTAAAATTAGTTACAACCAAGTTCTTGTCTCTGCTATGATCTGCATTCAGCTGGTCGATGAGACCTTTAGTGTATTCTATAAAAGTTTCTGGCCTTTTAAATCCTCCACCATAATTTGGCCAGTAAGCTGTATGGAGGTCTTCAGCAAGATAAATCCCACCATCGAGTTTGACGTGGTCATATAGATGATCAAACGTTACCTTCAACTGATTCATTGTGTGTCCCCCATCATCAATAACTATGTCGAATTTTGGCAATGTTTTCAGTGCTTCAGTCCAAAACCTTGGATTTCCCTGGTCTCCAATTATTATTTTGACTCCCTCTAACTCATTTTCAAATCGTTTTGATTTGGCAATAATGTCCATGCCATAGATTTGTGCACCCGGACCGAAGTAGTCTCGCCACATCTTCAAAGAGCCACCGTTTCTCACTCCAATCTCAAGCATAGTCATCTGTAAAGTAAGGAACAGATGGGTCATATGAGTTTCACTTGCACACTGTGGCTAGTCGATCTATGTGGATGCAGTCATTTATATGCAATGTATCGTGGGTGCTCGCCTCTGTACTTTTCAATGGAAGAATTTTGAACTTCTGTTTAAATAATCTATATTTACTCATCCGTGTATATCCTACTTCATTGATTTTCAAAACCAAAGCTATGCTATAAACACACATTCTCTGATATTTTTACGGAGAATAGATAACTCAAACGAGTTCACTCGACCAGTTTTATCATCTCGCTCATAGCTGTGAAAGGTATGTATAATTTGCCATAGGTTTACCTTATAATGTTGAATAAAACATTCAAGTAATATAATTATTTCACGTACACAAATATGTCTGTGTGAAGTAAAGTACAAATAAATTGTGTTTTATAATATTTTTGCGGTTATGGTATGGAATATCCGCAATTTAATTATAATGTATCATGTGGATTAGTAGACGTTTTTAATGGATTCAATGAACAGGCTGGCTAGGTTTTAATTGAATCATTTTGAATGTGTGTATCTTTAATATTTTAATCCACAGTGTCCAAAAACAATAATAATGCTATATTGGTAATTGGAAAGATTCCACTTACCACGATTTCAAAAAAATTGGAAATAGATAATATTATTCTTGAATTTGGGTCATTTGTTTCAAGGAATCTGTAGGCTCGTTCATCTGAGCTGACAAAATCATCAAGATTTACGGATGGTCCATCTGTATCTGTATTCAGTGGTTCCGAGATTCCCATAATACCTACGCTACCTAAGGGTATTGCGAACCCTTATTAATTGACAAGATGGCATTGACAAGACTTGTGACTTCATGCTGATTGACCAATCAAAACTTCATTGGCGTACCTAATTTCAACATTTTCATTGTCATCATTACATGTTATGGACCCGTTTTTCAAATTAACAGTATTAGGGATAAAACCATAGTTTTTTCATCTGTAATGGCATTTTCCAGTTGATGGGTTTATATATAGTATTTTCAATTCTTCATGAGGTTGTCTTGTAATGGTGTGCCTAATTACTTTACTGAATGAGGAATGTTTATCCAAACAATGAATACACAGAAAATCTGGCCAGTTGTCCATCAGTAAATAAATCATCATGATAAAAGTATAATTTATTATAGCATCCATTTGTTACCGTTTTAAATCCAAATGATACATAGTGGCATCCATTTATACATATATGTTGACGTTTACGAAATGTTTTTCAAATATCTTCCCTATAACAGGAACATGGTAGCTGGAACGTTCACACATTGTGATACTATGCATATTAAATATGTATGCAAGATTTCAAGTCACAATGTTAAGTAGAAACTCTGAGATCACTTACCTCGATTTGGTGTCATATTTTTGCAATGATCCCATTCCCTGTAATGTACGCGAGCACCCACGATGCATTGCATATAAATGACTGCATCCACATAGATTGACTAGCCACAGTGTTGCACGACATACAGGATGACACAAAAATGCTGCCCACTGATTTTGCAATAACTTTCTCAATAATGAATGGAATGGAATCTTCGTGATTTTTTCAGTCGAAGAAAGGTTGTTGTACTTGTATAGCATCAAAAACTTTGAGATTTATAGGTAACACATTTCCGTCCAGGTATGCTCTCGATGAAACAGTCAAAAAATGTTCAAAAATACAATTTTCTGAAATTAGGATATCTGTCTTAGCAAAAAGCTGGCGCACTTGTGTTTTTAGGGTATCGCGAATGAATGCGCATGAATAATATTCCAATTAAAATTATATATCATTTTAAAGCTGCTTCGAGGAAGTTTTCAAATCAAGTACACTTCTTTCACAATTATTGCGCGTTCTTTTTAAAAAAAGTTTTTTTACCCCAAAATCTGCCACAATTATCCGCTATCGACACGTTACATTTTGAAGACTTCTTCGTCTTTAAACCTACATAACTCAAACTAATATACTTTATTTTGTCTTGATAAAGGTAGATGGAGGTGTTATTTCAAAGGATGAATTCTAGTAAGCGTCCCATATTGTGACGTCATATAGCTTGAAAAACAATATGTCGACAGCGACCTTTTTTGCTCATTTTTGTTACCTTCAACTTTTCAGGTTTACATTAAACAAAAAATACGAGACCAAATCTTAATATACCATACATGATTATTTTGCTCGTAAACTCTAGTTTATTAATAAATAGTTGATTTTGTTCGCAAACGTATGTGTTTTCTGTTGTATGTGGAAAATTGGAGAACGAAAGGTTTTCAAAATTCATTAAAATAGGGCGAATTTACGCCATTCACCTATTTTCAAACACAGCAACACATATATTCATTTAACCTAAAATATCAATTGAATTGTGTGTTATGATGCTCCTAACCCATTGTTAATACATATACGATAGCAGAGTCATTCGCCCTAAATATTTTGGGATAGAGGTAAATGTGGAGGACGAAAGGATCTCCATATGTGTACATTTTTTCTCCAAAAAACGTCACATTCTGTGGTGTTAAAGGGTGACGCATATCGTTTAGCAAATCGAACGCTCGTTTCTGGTGTTGCTCACCGTTTGGTATAAAAGGCCCGATCCCGGAATAATACTCAAGGGTTCACAGGTTCGAGGTCGTTGTGTCAACACCTCTAACTGTTATATAGCATAAGTATATTATAGATCGTCACACATTTATAAAAGGGTGATTTTTATTTTGACAAATCAATTCCACATTTATGGGTGAAGTTTCAGGATCTTCTATTTGTGTACAATAAGGAAAAATTGGCATCTAAATTTCCCCATAACGTAATAGCACACAGCTTGACATATGAAATATCCTACAAATGAAACAAAGCAAGACAAACCGGTTTCTAATACAAGGATTTATATTGGCTGTTGTACATGTATTCTTTGAACGCAATCACTCTTTGGATAACGTTTTCAAAATCATTATAAAAGGATTTCTTTATCTCAAAGACAATTTCAATAAACTGGATTTTACAGAACTCCCCTTATTTCTTAAAAATGGACTGATCCAGTTGATTCGCCTGGAGTCGCCATATTGTTTTTATACGGGATGCTAATCGGAACCCTTTAAAAAGCGAAAATGTGTAACAATACGTTCGCGAACTTTTTGCGACGTGATCATTACCATTAATACCCATTTTATCAAGTAATTTTGTATTGAGTAAATTTAAGATTTCTAATTTTCATTTGTGAGTGGTTTTTGTGTCATAGCATGCCTGTGCAGAAAATGAGATATCTCTTATATATATAACACTGTTTACACATAAAGTAATGAAGATTCTTTCATTATTGACAAAGTTATTCCAAAATTAGTGGGTGACATTTTTGTGTCACCCTATAGCGAGGCAAGGGGTGTCCGATTCTAGCCAATCCGAACACAGTATTTCTGAACTGAAGTGCATTATATAACCAATCACCGCATTCAAGGTCATTTTTTGTGGTTGTTAAGGCGTCAACTTGATTAAAATTGATGCTTTCAAAATTACAAAAGTATGAGTTAACTAGCAGCAGGGTTTACACATTTTTTGCCTGAATGCTACGTTGGAAGAATACATAGTTCAAAATCAAAATCTTTTGAAACGAAATATCACCAGTTTCACCAGTTTTTTGTGTAAGAGCATAACTACCTTAAGCGACGTAGAGTACTTGGCATTGCCAACAGGTGGGGATCATGTGAATTCAGCACTATTGAATGAAAATATTGAATTTTAAAATCATGTCTTACCTCCTTGTTCCTGAATCTTGCAAAATGTCTATGATAAATATCAAAGTAATGATTCCATTTAAAAACATCTCCGAATTTCTCAGACTTTCTGTAGTTTTTCCACCATGTTTTAAATGGGTTAATAGTCGCATCGTCAAATGTATTGAGTGGGGGCGCATCCTTAAATCTAGTGATCTCCTTTTCTTGTACACAGTTGACGTCCTTTAAGATACTTAATGTCTGACCACGCTGATACAAAAGAGTACTTATAAGTAAAACAGAGAATAACACTAAAACGAGTAAGATGGTTTTCATCTTTGCTGATTCTCTCATGTTTAGAAACTAAGGTCTTCGACTGCTTTTTTAAAAATTCTTACGGTTTTATTGAGGCGCAATCAATAATCAATTGATATTTAAATTGATATTTCCATTCGCCTAACTCAATCTGTTTACCGAGTTCTTGCTCATTCTTCACTTTGAATAAAACTTTTCAGGTGTATGTTAAACACTGTTTGCTCAATTCTTCCACCCAAAAAACTATTGTGAATTGGTGTTAATGTTCTATACAACCATAATACATCATAGTTCTACAATGCGTCAATCTGGCTGTGGTCGGGAAATATGTCTAAAATAATTAGCTACTTCGTTCATAAACAGTCTTCAATACGTCCATCTCATTCGCAGTTCGTTCAGATCGCACCACGTCGGTGTGCAACGTCTAGAAGGTCATCATGACCTGATTACAGAACGGTATGGTCGCCATCGAATTTTGAATCATTTCAAAATTTCAAAATCACCTTCCCGTCTGAGAACGTTCATGAAGTTCGTAAACAGTCCTTGGAAGGTTGCAGCTACGTTCATTGATATGGTCGGTAACAGGACAACTCATCCCTAAGACAACTCATCCCAAGACAACTCATCCCCAAGACATCTCATCCCAAGACATCTCATCCCAAGACATCTCATCCCAAGACAACTCATCCCAAGACATCTCATCCCAAGACATCTCATATCTTGAAAATACTGATTCAATCATGTTTATTTTTTCAGAAAAGAAAGAAGAGACTGTGCATGTATAGCTCCTGTAGTTGTTTAGTTGTAAAACATGATGCCTTGGACACCTGCTCAAAACACATTTGTACTAGAAAAAATACAAAAAAACAGGGTGACTGCAACCGCAAAAAAACAAAGGAGTGGTATCGATATGGTGAACTTTTTGAACACATGTTTCTCTTAAACCAGTCATCAAAAAATTCTGAAACTTTTACACTTCATCAATTTATATAATGGTCATCTTTTGAATGGTAACATTATAATTTGAAATATATATATATACTTTTCTCTATATTTTTTTAGAAAAAAATCAGACACTTCTTACCGAACCTCATTGGAACAAAACGACCTAAACACAACGTGTTTAGGTCTCTCAATATTGTAATTGTACAAAGGAAAGTTTGGATGATTTAAAAAAAGTATCTTGTTAAAACATTTATCTGAATTTTTATCTATTTTGGGGTTTTTTGTTTAATTTTTTGCATACATTTTGTTAAATCAACCAAAATTTCCTTTGTATAACTATACGACTATTGAGAGGTCTAAGAAAATGTTGTATATGCTATTTTATTCCAACAAGGTTCGGAAAGACATTTTATTTCATTCTCAAGAATTAGTTGAAAGGAACAGAAAACAATTGCAATTAAAAACAAAAAAGTTATATAAAATATTATAAATAATTTTTGCATTGAATTGTTGTCAATCAGTCAACATTACACAAAGGACCGTGTGTTTTTACAGAATGTTTTCAATAATCGGTTTAAGAGAAAAATATTGTTGAATTCAGTTCACCATATCGATACCTATCCTTTGGCACAAATCATCTTCATCCGATGTATGGTAAATCTGTAGAGTGAAATCAAAATCACTCAAAGAGGGACTTTACATTCATAGTCGAAATGCTTTCAAAAGGGAGCCAAACGCCCTGGTTCAGACAAACTTAAGAAGGTATTTTGACCATGACGGTAAAGTCCCTAGAGTGATATTGATGAGACTCCACACATTCCCGACAACATGATTGAATATAATATTTGCCAAATCTGAAGTGCCAAAACACTATAGTTAGAAAGTAATTCGGTTTTATTGCTGTGGCAGGCACCTCTGACTGCATTTTTCGTATTTTTCTAATACTAATGTCTTTTGAGCAGGTGTCCCAGTTATCTTGTTTAACAGCTTAATAACATTATGAGCTATACATACGTACACAGTATGTATAGCTAATAATGTATGTATGTGCACAGGCACGAAAAACTTTCAGAAAACTTATTTTTAAGTATGTGTTTGATAATGTTAAATCAATAGATATTTCATCTCAGCCATTTGATGCATTGTATTTATTGATCATACGACTATGCAGAATGTGGCTATCACAGATACTCTGCCATTATGTAAGCAAATTATGAACTAGTGTCACTTAGTGTTATTTATTTGAATCTATTGTTTCATTTACACCAAAACCATCATTAATAGATCTGTCAATATCAACTTCTCCTGTTAAAGCATCTGTTGCAATCGTTTTTTCGAATATATCCTAGAAAATTTAAAATGAGTTCCATGAGTTTTACGATTACGAACATCACATGACATTCTAATCCAGGTCCTTGAACATTGCAGAAAGTATAGAAAATATGTATTACATAACATAACAATAAATTGAAAATAGATAAACATTGTGCTGTTACAAATGAATGTGACTTTAATAACTCAGATGTGAGTAGGTACATGTAGTTACCAGCAGTTTCACCACCAGGTGGCTCATTCGGTTCAGATAGCATGGCGGGGATATCTGTCAAATACAAGAAAAGATATTTCACTTTTTGTGAATTTATAACATGGGGTCTATGAGGAAGCTCCCCGAACTAGAAGTCACATTTTCCAAAAAGATTTCAAAGTTGATCAACAATTTTCAAAACCATATTTCCAGATGTACTTTTACATGTAGATTTCAAATATGACATAATTTTGACTAGATTTTGGATATTTAATGATGTAAATCAAGATTATTTCTACTCGCTTCTAGACAAGTCTATTACTTTTGAAATAGATATAATGCCAGACAATAATTATATTCCGAACGAGCCTACAAGATCTGCAGGTCCTATGTCTAACTTCAGGGCCTTATGAGGAAACACAAGTTAAGCACAACAATTTTGATGGTATACCAATGTGATTTTATAACATGGGGTCTATGGGGAAGCTCCCCGAACTAGAAGTCACATTTTCAAAAAAAATTCAAAGTTGATAAACAATTTTCAAAACCATATTTCCAGATGTACTTTTACAGGTAGATTTCAAATATGACATCATTTTGACTGCATTTAGAATATTTAATGATGTAAATCAAGATTATTTCTACTTGCTTCTAGACAAGTCTATTACTTTCGAAATAGATATAATGCCAGACAACATTATATTCCGAACGAGCCTACAAGATCTGCACGTCCTATGTCTAACTTCAGGGCCTTATTAGGAAACACAAGTTTAGCATAACGAATTTGATGGTATACCTCCAAGTCATCCTTCTTCAAAGGACTTCATTTATGCCAAAATATATACACTTGTAAAATACCCTTGCAGCAAGGACTAAGTAGCTCTTGCTCCAAGTAGGTTGCATACAACTTTGTGGTGTTTGTGGAGAGTTTTAAAATTTGAATCACAAATAAATCAAGATTTCTGTCAAAATGAGAGTGATTATTTATTATATACGAATCCTTAACGACACAACTGTGTATCTTTTCTAATCAATATTTTATGATGAAGGGTATTTTTAGAATTGAAGATTAGTGTCAGAGAAAAGTGGATTACACATTAGAATTTAAAAAAAGAGAGAAATACTTTTTTATGATCAATAACATGTAGTTGGAGCCCACCCTCGTGTTGCGGATTCATCAAAATATAGCTTTATCGATTTCTGTTATCTAATATATAAACGCTGGTTGAGTTTTAGTATTGCTGAACGTATCGATGCTGTTTACACATTAGCAAAAAGTAGGACACGGATTTTCATTATAATTATAATTTTCGAATGAGAAAGTTATTTGTAAACCCGTTAATGTTTTTTCCAATGATCTATTGAAAGTCATAGAAAATGTGAAAAATCAAGAACTTTTCCTCGTATTATTTTACTGTCAGTTCAATTTGTTAGAGTTGTCTATTTGAATGATAAATACTCTCTACACTTGTGATATATTTCGATTTATATAAATAAATCGAGCGGTTTTTTGTTATAACAATCCTGTAAAAACACTGCCACATGTCACCAATATCAACAACTTACATTCAATAAACCTTGTTCAATAAATCAATAATTGGAAGATTTATTCACGTATTTTCTGGAAAATTACTGAAACAGTTGGGCATTGCTATTTTCACAAATGAAAATGCAAAGCTAGGTGTAGACTTTGATGCCAATTATTTTTATAATTTGAATGTTCAAATGGCCATCCATTTAAATGCCCCTTGATGCTCTTTCTAATGTTTCTTTGTCAAAATGTTCATATTTTTAAAATGCCTTTTCACATGTTTCTTTGTCTAAATGGGCCTCCCTCTATAATAATACACGCCCTTTCACAGATTGCCCTGTCCAAAATTTTGGGTCAAAATTTGAGACCTATCTTCTTGATAATTTGGCCTAATTTTACAAAATAAGATAAAAAGGTCCAGTAATGCCAAAAAAGTCCCACTAATTGGGGCCATAAAAATAAAAATCATCCAAATGGTCATCCCTTTAAAATATACTAGTTTGTCCTTTCACAGATTGCTTTGTCCAAAATCTTTGGCCACTAAAACTTAAGATTTGGCCAACATTTTGAAAAAAGGCCTGATTTGTGATAATTTGGTCTAAAATTAAGAAAAATAAGGCAAAAAGAAGTGCCAAAGAAGCCCACTAATTTTTTTCGTGGCCCATCCTATGGGAAGGGCCCATACCCCCTCCCCCCAGACCCAGATCCGCCAGTGTTTTGAGGGATATATCGGTCTACTATGTTACTGTCCAAATGAACCATGAAAATGGTTCAGAGAAAAATGCATTTCCAAATTTCAGTTCTCAAAGAAACAAATGGTACAATAGTATCTATATATATTTTTCCCTTTGACCTGGTTAGACAACCAAAATTGGTTTATTTTTGAAGTTTAGAAGATTTAGAAGATTTAGACAAAGTTTTTGCTACCTGAGTGATGATGACATCAGTTAGGTTGCAACACTTTTAATATGCTAAAATATTGAAGTGGCAGATTGGATATGGCATTTTACTATTGAAATAGTGGGTCCTTTGTTCAATCGTTGATTCAACCTTTTTTCGAAAAATGGCGGGAAATTTGACTAGTTGAGAAATGAAACGCT